CGACGGCCTGCCGGACGCCTCCGCGGCCGTGCGCGGGGCGGCGAAGGAGAGCGGCTGCGCGCCACGCGCAGAGGGGGGGGGTCAGGAGGGGAAGAAACACACACAGACACAATTCATCGTCGACTCCCCATGCAGAAAATGTGGCAAAATATGGGAAGGGGGGGGGAGGCAGAAACCTAGAAAATACAGGGAAATATCGGGAAATCTGTTTATTAGTGTGTATTTGTTTGTGTGCCCCAGGGCCCCTTCAGGGTGGGGGGGCGGGGGAGGGCTTCTCAGAAGCACCCCTGCTTCTTAGAAGGCGCGGGCCTCATCTGTAGATGTGAGGCCGGCGCCTTCTGAGAAGCAGCCTCCTTCTAAGAAGCCCTCCCCCCTCCCTCCACCCCCTTTGTGCGCGCCGCCAAGGAGACGGTGCCGGAGGTGCAGCGGCCGGTGACCTCCGTGAGGTGGCAAGGGGCGGCCAAGAGTCTTTGGACGCCCGAAACCCAGATCCCCTCGCGTTGTGAGCAAAATCACGACGGGAAGTTTTGCGCTATTTTCTCCCCTTGGGGGCCCTTCCTGGGCCGCGGGACCGTCAAAAAACGACTCAGGATGAAAAACCGGTCCCGGGGAAGAGGTCCAGACCTCTGGGGGTCGACGTTGTGAAAAAATCACGACGTCGGGGGTCGGGGAATGGGTACGGAAAGAATGGGTACAATGCCCAACAGCAGTCCCTGTTCATTTTGAGCAGGACTCGCTGTCCACGCCGCCGCGGCCTGTGTCCACTGGAGACAGGAGGCCGCCTGCGCAACAGCGGCCGCTGTTGGTTTGGGACAGCATGTGTTGTTGGGCATTGTACCCATCCTTTCCGTACCCATTTCGGGCGTCCAAAAAGAGGGGGGCCTCGCTTCGATTCCTCCGATTCGATTCGATACGGTTTCGATGGCTTCTGATTCCGACTCGGTTCGACTGCGGGTTCCGATTTGGGCTCCGATGCCTTACAGGAAGCGTACTAGCCTGCCGATTTCCGCCGATTCGACTTCTCCCGACTGGGCTGCCGATTTCCGCCGATCCGATTCATTTCGATCGCCGATCTGACTTGTCGATTCGATTCTGGGCTCTCCTGAGAGGGTGGTTGATGATTATAGACAAGCGCGTTCCAGTACTCGCAAAGGAGCTACTTGCACATGGCCTGGATCCGCCGCGGGGAATGTGCACGATGCCTCGAAGTCTGACTTGTCGATTCGATTCTGGGCTCTCCTGAGAGGGTGGTTGATGATTATAGACAAGCGCGTTCCAGTACTCGCAAAGGAGCTACTTGCACATGGCCTGGATCCGCCGCGGGGAATGTGCACGATGCCTCGAAGTCGCGGCAGACATATAACATTTTCTGGACGCCTGCGAGGAGGTACTTTGCGAGTCGTGGACCGCGCTCGGTGAGAATGATATGACCAACCAACAACACAGTCTGTCACAGACCCATACCCATTGGGGGGTCGGAGAGGGCTATGGGTGCGTGTTGTCGGATGGGGGTCCCCGCTCGAACGGGAGCGTTCCCCAGGGTCCGACAACCCGCCCCCATACCCATAGCCAGTCCTCCTCCCAGCGACCTCCCTATGGGTATGGGTGTGTGTGTTGTTCGTTCGCCATGATGGCGGGGGGGATCTCCTGGCGGAGGCCACGGGAGCTCCCCAGATCTCAGGGAGCCTCTGCTGATGCCACGGCGGGCGCCCCGGGCCAGGCCCTGGGCCGCGCACGGGCCGCCGGCCGTGCCTCTCGCGCGCCCCCCTCCCTCTCGGGACGCCCCCGGGAGGTGCCTGCACCTGCTGAAGAAGCACGCGGGCTCGCGGAGGCCGAGCTCCTGGCGGGAGAAGGCCGGCTGCTCTGCACGCGCGCAGGGGTGGCCCCCTCGCTCCGCCAGAGCGGCCTCAGCTGCTGGACCACGGGGGCTCCCCGAGCGGTGATCGAGCTGCGGCGGCGGCGGCGGCCTGCGCGCTGGGTCTGGCCCCCCCCCCCGCGGCTCCCCGCGAGCCGCGCACCAGAGGCCGCTCTGGCCCATAGGGCGCCCTTTGCGTCCCCTCCTTCTCCTTTTCCTCCTCCCCCTCCTCCTCCTCCTCGTCCCCCTCCTCCCCTCCCCTCCCCCTCCCCTCTCCGCTCCCCTCCTCCCTCCTCCTCCTCCTTCTCCTCCTCTCCCCTCCCTCCCTCTCCTCCTCCTCCTCCTCCTCTCTCCTCCTCCTCCTCCTCCTCCTCCTCCTCCTCCTCCTCCTCCCCTCCTCCTCCTCACTCCTCTCTCATCACTCCTCCTCCTCCTCCTCCTCGCGGGCGTCTGGGAGCGGGTGGACGGACGTCCGCTCCCTATGCCGCGCTGATCCTCCTCCTTCTCCTCCTCCTCCTCCTCCTCCTCCTCCTCCTCCTCCTCCTCCTCCTCCTCCGCCGCCGAGCAGGTGATCACGAGGAGCGTCGAGGAGGCGACGTACCGGCTAAAGGAGCTGCGGAAGGCCATCGAGGCGAAGGCCACGCCTGCGGAGCGGCAGGCCGAGTTCGAGCGCCTGGCGCGCCGCGAGAGCGACTGCGGCTCCGCCGCGGAGGGCGGCTCCCTGGGGCGCTTCGGGCGCGGCAAGATGCAGACGGTGGCCGGCCCGACGCACATCCCCACCGCTCTGAGGCTGGGATTCGCGCACATCCTCGGCGGCGCGCAGAGTGGGGCAGGGGGAGGGGGGAGGCTTCTTAGAACGCGCGGGCCCTACATCTGCAGACAGGGCCCGCGCCTTCTAAGAAGCAGGGTGCTTCTGAGAAGCCTGCCCCCCTCCCCCTACCCCCCTCTGCGCGTGGCCGACGCCCCTCGTCCGGGGAGCCGAGGACCCAGGGCCCCAGGAGGCCAGGTCGGGCCCCAGCTGGGCCCAGCGTTGTCCGCGTTCACCGCCTCCTGGGCTCCCCGGGAGCTCGGATCCGCGGGCGGTGGATGTGCGCACGTCCCTGCCCCCCACTGTCCCGAGGATCGGTGCCAGTCTTGAGTGTCCCCCGCGGTCTCCGAGGGCCCACCCCCAAGGCCGTCACCGACCCGGCCTTGTCAAGCTCGAGGGTGGGGATGAGCTCGGGGCTGGCCAGGCGGGGAGCAGCAGAGAGGCCCGCCCGCCCCGCCCCTCCGCACCTCCAGGCCCAGCGAGCGAGACTTGGTGGCGGGAGTGTTTTCTGGACCCCCGGGGGCCCTTCCGGCTATCTCTCGCGCCCCTCGGCGGAATCTGTGCGCGAGTCGAAGAGCATCAAAGGCAGCGCCGATGACCTCGAGCATATTGCTCCCATGTTCTTTGGCCTCCCGTGCCCTCGGCGAGTGCCTCCTTGGGCGCCTCTTCCAGTCTTGTTGGGGCGTCCCGGGGCCTCTTGGGAGCATCGTCGGGACTTCTGGGGGGTCGGTGGGCCATCTTCGGCCGGCCTTGGCGCATCCGGCAGGCGTCTTCTTGGCGGTCTCTTGGCGGTTCTGGTGCCGTCTGGGCGCTCCCGTGGGGTGACACTGGCCGGCCTCGGGAGGAGCGGCCTTGGGGGGCGTTTGGGGTGAGGGGGGGGAGTCGCACCCAGACAAGTGCTCAACCCCCACCAGACGGCTGTATTGTATGCCGTCGACACATGCCCCGAACCAGCCGAGGGCGGCACGGCGGCGGGCTGCTGGCCTGCTCCCGTCCTCCCATCCCCGTGGGCGGGGCGGGCGTCCTCTGCTCCTGCTCCCCGGCGGAAGCCCTTCGAGGAGGCCTCGTTCGCCCTCAAGGTGCAGGAGCTCAGCTCGGCGGCGCCCCCGGGGGGGAAGGGCGACGGGGGATGGGGGAGGGCCTCCTCGGAAGGCACGGGGGCGCTTGCCGGGAGGCCCCCCCCCCCTCCCGTCCTCCGAGAAGCCCTCCGAGGTTTCCGAGAGGGCCTCTCAGACGGCGGGAGGGCTTCGAAGTCCCCCCCCCGCGCTTAACGAGGCCCCGCCCCCCCCCCCCGCCATTTCCTCTGAAGCCGCCTCCCCCTCCTGCTCTGCTCCTGCTCCTGCTCCTGCCTTCCTCCTCCTCCTCCTCCTCCTCCTCCTCCTCCTCCTCCTCCACCAGAAAGTCCGGAGCTTCCTCCTCCTCCTTCTCGCCCTCTTGGAGCCTCGGGAGCCTCCAGAACCTCCTCCTCCACCTCTGCCACTTCCTGAGCCGCATCCTCCTGTTCCTTCTTTTCCTCCACGTCATCCTTCTCCTCCTCCTTCTCCTCCCCCTCCGTAGCCATTTTGGCTCAAGATGATTGGTTCCCCTGGGGACCGCACGGATACCGCTAGTCCGCGGCCAGACCACCGTTCGCCTTCACCGTGGGAGTTGGGCGCCCACACCCAGTCCTTTCCAGATCGCGCTGCCACGGCCCACCGTGTGTGCTGCTGCCTGGTGTCGTGGAGATGCCACCGCCGCATTACCGTTCGGAGCAGGCGCTTCCTTGGTACTGCAAGAGCTGCTGCGGGCCCTCGGGGAGACCGTGGTGGAATCATGCAGAGGCGCGGCAGTGTGCGAAGTGCAAGCTGGGCAAGGGACTGGTCTTCCACAGCGTGCGCCAGCCCGCGGCCCCCTCCCAGCGGAAGAAGGGCAATCAGGGCGGCAGCGGCAACGGCTACTGGGACGACTCCGTCAAGGTGGCCAAGCTCAAGTCCGAGCTCGCCGAGGCCCGCAAGCGGCTTGCCGCTGTGCAGAGGCCGCCGCCTGGCGGGGAGGACGTGCAGATGGAGCCGGCCGCGGACGGAGACGGCCCCGAGTCCGTCGCCAAGGACAGGCTACGCGAGGTCGGCGACCTCATCGGCAAGCTCAAGGGCATCACCGAGCCGTCGGTCGTGGCCACGCGCGACAAGCTGCTGGCCGAGCAGGCCGAGCTGCGGGCTAGGGTGGCGGAGTCCCGACCGCTCGGACAGCGCTTGCGCGAGATGGGAACTCAGTTCACCAGGCTGCAGAAGCTGCGCGACGACCAGCAGACCAAGCTCGATGGGCTGCAGGCGCAGTTGCGCGACCTGCAGGAGAAGGAACGGCTCACTCGGGACAAGCTGGCGGCCCTCGACGCTAGCATGGAGGAGCTGGACCAGGAGCGCAAGAGGCTTCAAGGGCAGGTTCCGACGCCTGGCGACAAGGCGTCGCTCGACGAGCCGATCAAGGGGGTTGGTGCCACGCTCGAGGGCCTCGGGATCTTGCTCCAGAGCCTGGGCGCCGATCACCAGCTGTCGGGCAGCCTCACGGCGAGCTTCCAGGAGCTGCAGAGGTTGCAGGAGGAGGAGGCGGCAAAGTTGGCTGCCCAGAAGGCGCAGGCGGATGCTGGGGCCGAGGCTGGTCCCGACGTCGAGCAGGCCGAGCGGCAGGACGACGCGGCAGCGCCTCGCACACCACAGCCATCTGCCTTCTCCGACGACCCTGAGTTCATGGAGGAAGTCGTTGCGGCTGGGGGCGAGAAGCACAGGCTGGAGGAGATCTTCATGCGTTGGGGTGCCAAGGTCAAGAGGCCCAGGCTCACCCCTGCCTAGCATGGCTCCACGGCGATGTTTTGCGTGTCTTGTGTGGTTCGTCCTCCTTTGTCGCACCATGGCGTCGGTTTCAAGTATCACCACCGTGAACGTGTCCTCGGGCGGCCCGCTCGTCGACTTCCTGCCCACGTGCTCGAGTTTATGCATCGCGGTGCAGGAACATCATGCCAAGGCCGAGGGCGATGCTTTGGCGAAGTTGCAGAATAAAGTAAGAGCTGCTGGGTACCATGGTATATGGGAGCCCGCCCTACCTGGGCAGGGAGTTGGCAGCAGAGGCGGGGTTGCGGTGCTGGCCCCGCTGCGGGTGGTCATCACCAAACCCCCAGGCCTGGACAGTCACGTGCTGCAGGAAGGCAGGATGATGGCGGCCCACGTCCACGCTGGGGTGAAGGGCGGCTTCGTCATGCTGTCGTGCTATTTCATTGTGGACGTCAAGCTGTCGCCCGAGAACCTGGCCATGCTGTACAAGCTGTACCAGTATGTCAGGTCGCTGGAGGCCATGGGTGTTCCGTGGATCGTAGGAGGCGACTTCAACATGGAGGTAGGCGAGCTCGGCCCGTTGTCCTGGCTCCAGTCGGCCAATGGCGTGGTGCTGGCGCCGAGAGAGCCGACTTGTCTTCAGAGCCTTCCTGGCCGCACCATTGACATGTTCATGGTTTCTTGCCGTTTGCTGCCTCGCGTTCGGCAACCAGTGGTCGTCGACGCGGAGACGTGGCCGCATCTACCAGTGACCATGGAGCTCTCCGCCACGGCTTTTGACGCGAAGGTCAGGAGGCTTGTCGAGCCACGCGGCTTTCGGAGGCCGCCTGCGGCGGGGTGCGCGAGGTTCCCCCCCGACTGGGACCCGACCTTGGCGATCATCCAGAGCGCGTCGCACAGCGAGGGCATCACCAGGGCCTGGGACGTCGTGCTCAGCGGCATCGAGTTCGAGCTGCGGGGCCGCTACGACGTCGTGAAGGACGTGGCGGGGTACTCCACGGTGCCAGGCCCCCCGACCTTCGAGCTGGCGAGTTTTCACCCTGTCGTGAAAGGTGCCTGGAGCAGGAGGTCGGCGGACACCCAGGCCTGGGCGCAGGCTGCGCGCTGGGCTCGTCACCTCAGGAGGGTTCGAGTGGCCTTGCAGAGCTTCGTGCTCCAGCTACGCCCGCAGCAGGTCTTCGAGCTCGGCAGCGTCGGCGAGGCGCACGTCGACGGTGTGCCTGGCCTGGGCGATGGGGCACCCCCTGCTGCGGAGGTCGTCGGAGTGGCTGGTCTCTCCTCCGATGGTGGTCGGCCTCGGTCGAGAGCTCAGCGACACCAGCCCCCGCGACGGGCAGGCGAGGACCTATCGTGGGACGCCGTGCACTCCAAGGCGGCGCGCCACCTGCTGGAGTGCGAGAATTTCTTCCAGAGAATCTGGCGGAGGAAGGGAGTCTGGCCGCACCTGGACGCCGAAGCCGTCGGCTTCTTCTCGCGTGGCATACTTGCCTTAGCGCAGGCAGACTTCGAGCAGCAGGTCGACCGCATCCTGAGTATCTCCTCCGATGCTGAGGCCAAGCATGAGAAGGCCGTGATGCAGAGCTGGAGGCAGTGGGCGCAGGCAGCTTTTGCGGCTGGAGCCAAGGGAGCTCACCGATTCATGAAGCCCAAGGCTCTCCAGGAGATCGTGGACGGAGGCAATGGGCTACAACATGGGTACGTACTGGCTGATCGTAAGCTTGAGTATTGGGAAAGCTTCTGGGTGCGGCATGGCGGTGAGCTGGCTCGCCGACCTGTTGATGCTGACACTTGGGAGCAGCTGCCAAGGCTTGAGGCGGCCGACGTACTCAAGGCAATCCGTTGTTTCTCTTGGCAGACAGGCGTCGGGCAGATCAACATCGCGCCCAGGGCCATGGAGCACCTCTCCCACGGGGCGCTGACGGCTATGGCGCGCCTCTTCGAGCGGTGCGAGCACCTCCTGCTGTGGCCAGACGGCAGATTCCTCTCGAAGCTCGTGAGACTCCCCAAGCCAGGGGGTGGGGAGCGCCTGATTGTGCTGATGAACACGCTGGTCAGGATCTGGGGACGGGCGAGGCGGCCTGTCTCGGCAGCGTGGGAGAAGGCCCATGCGCTACCAGAGGTCTGGGGCCACACTGGAGGCAAGTCGTCGAGTGATGCGGCCTTTGATTTGGCGCTCACCAAGGAGATGGCGACCCTGTGCGATGACGACGCCATCATTGTGCTGCTGGACATGCTCAAATGCTACGAGCTGGTCAGGCATGATGCCATTTTGTTGGAGTGCAGGGCCAGTGGATACCCTATGCGAATGGCGTTCATGCTTGTGCAGATGTACCAGCAGCTGCGCTCGGTGCACTCGTATTCTTCGTATTCAGTGGCGCGCAGGGCGTATCAGGGCATCCTGGCAGGCTGCACCCACGCCACTACGCTTCTCATGGTGTTGTTGACTCGCAGCATTCGCCAGACGATGTCGGTCGCTCCTCAGGTTCAGCCCAAGGACTTGGTGGACGACGTCGCGCTGTGCTGGGTCGGCAACGACCCGAGCGGGGTGCGAGAAATGGCCATTGCCACTCGTGCTTTCTGCAGGGCTGTCCGGCCCCTCGGGCTGGTGCTGCAGATGGATAAGTCTGGGCACCTTACGACGTCCAGGCGCACCAGCTACCACTTTCAGAAGTACGCCAGGCTGCTGAAGATCGCTGGCAAGAGGCACATGCGGTATCTTGGCCACGACCTAGCTGGGTCGTCGGCCACAAGGGCCGTGCAGAAGGGACGCCTGAAGGCCATGCACGGAAAGAAGGCCAGCGTTCGAGCACTGCAGAAGGGAGCAGGACGACAGCGGGCGGCTCGGCTCTGGGCCACGGGTGTGCTGCCATCCGTGGGGCACGGAGCCACGGTCAGCGGCATCAGCGACACGGAGCTGCAGCAGATGAGGACCATGGCTGGCGTCTTCTGTGGCTACAAAGGGTCGGGCTCCCTGACGCTGTACCTGGCCGCGCAGCAGTGGAGCTTCGACCCCATATTCCACGCTACCTTCAGCATCGTGGGGCAGTACGCGGCGTGGGTGTGGGATGGGCGTGTGACGCTCTCCCGACTGCAGCGGGCCTGGATGGGCTTGCGTGACTCCTGGGAAGCCCGCCACACTCACGTCACGTGGGCCAGTGCGCAGGGCCCGCTTTCGGCCTTGTGGTTGTCCCTCAGGAGAGTCAACTGGAACATGGCAAGTTCTACAATCTTGGTTGACGATGAGGGCCTGCATATCAGTTTGCTGCAGTATTGTCCCAGTGAGGTGCTGTTTTTCCTGCGTCGCAGCCTCGACCGTTGGCAGAGCCATCGTATCCTCGACCAGCTGCCTGAGGCGCCCCCAGCCGATGGTGACGGCAGGCGGCAGCAGCATGTGTGGCTTCGTGCGCTTCGACTGGGACACGCCTCCTTGGCGCCTGGCCACAGAGGGGCTCTGGCCAAGCTGCAGTCCAACGGGTTCTGGTCGCCGCAGCGCCGCATGCAGGCTGGCTACGGCGGCGACGGTTCGTGCGAGTTCTGCGGGGAGGCCTGCTGCGACCTCGAGCATGAGATCTTCGGCTGCACGGTATTGCATCAGCAGCAGGAGGACGAGGAGACGGAGCCGTACCCCGAGGAGGTGGCCAAGAGGAGGAAGGACATCCTGGAGGCAGCCCCGTGGCGCGACGGGGGCCAGGTGCAGGACTTCTCGGCCGTCGACGTGCTCTACGCGCTGCCCCTGAGGCCTGCTTTCAGGCCGCTGCCTGCACGTGCTCAGGCTGAGCGCGAGTGGGGGGCGATCGACATGCCGTGGCCGTCGAAGTTGTACGGGGACGGGTCCTGTCTTGAAAGTGATTTCCCTGAGGAACGGCGCTGTGGCTGGGCCGTCGTAGCATTGACCCGAGACCTGTGGCCATACAAAGCTTTGTTCGGGAGCCTGGGGGGCCCTATCCAGACGGTGCCCAGGGCCGAGCGCGTTGCTGGTCTCAAGGCCCTGCAGAGGGCCCAGAGGCCAGCCACGTACGTGACTGATCATTTACAGCTGCAGGTCGAGGGAATGGCCTGGGAGGGTCGTCATGCTTCTGCCAGAGCGCCTCACGCGTCCATCTGGCGGAGCATCCACGAGCTGTATAGAGGCGACCCTGTCAGGCCCGTGTTTGTTTGGACGAAGGCCCATCGGACCGTCCTCGAGGGGTTTGAGGCCTGCCTGGCCTCCCAGGAGCCCCTGGAGCATTTTTTCGGTAATATGTGGGCTGATGTTTTCGCCCGCGTGGCAGCGGCTGATTTCCTTGGATCCACCTCCGTGGTCAAGGCTCACAAATTTTCTCTGCTTCGGGCCCAGGACACGATGCGTTGTCTGGCCTGGGCTGCCGAGCGCGTGGCCCGCCTCTCCACCCCGATACTCCGTGCGCCTCCGAAGGCTGTCTTTCGGCCCCGCCGTCCGCGGCGGCCGACCGATCACGACTTTGTGGTCTTCGCTGGGGGAGCTATTCGATGTCGAGCCTGCTGGAGGCTTGCAGCGACGGCCTCGTCGTTGAAGTCTCTGGCCTCCCGTGCATGCGACCCCCAGGAGGTCGGGCCAGGACACCAGGTCCAGGCCTTGGATCGAGTTTTGATCTGTGTTAAGTGCGGGGCGCACGCTGTGCGCCCCAATCGGCTGTCGGTCGGCCTGTCTCGAGCGTGCAAGAGGGCTGGGACGGGGTCGGCGGGAGCTGGGAGTGGGGGGGACGGAGCTATCGCGTCGATGCTCGAGCTGGCTCGAAGGGGCCTGCATCCCAAGACGGGCGAGCCCCTCGAGCCGCTCGTCTTCTCGGAGCTCGGGGTGCCTGCGATGCCGCAGCAGGCGCCCGAGCCCGAGGCACCTGACTAGTGGGCGGAAGTGCTGGCGGGGGGCGCGGTGCGAGTGGGGACTGCCCGGCGTTGCGCCGTTAGTGACCCTCGCACCGTTGCTCCCCAGCCCCGCGCACGGAAGGAGCAGATCCGCTGCACTTAAGGGCCCCTTAAGTGCAGCGGGCTGTCTTGGCCTCCATCGCGTCGATGCTCGAGCTGGCTCGAAGGGGCCTGCATCCCAAGGCGGGCGAGCCCCTCGAGCCGCTTGTTTTCTCGGAGCTCGGGGTGCCTGCGATGCTCAGCAGGCGCCCGAGCCCGAGGCACCTGAATAGTGGGCGGGTGCGGGCGGGGGGCGCGGTGCGAGTGGGGACTGCCCGGCGTTGCGCCGTTAGTGACCCTCGCACCGTTGCTCCCCTGCCCCGCGCACGGCGCGGAGAGCGCCCCTTGTTGGATGAGGGCCCTCTCTCGTTTTTTTTTTCGAGGCGTGTTCGTGATTCACCTGCACGCTCTCGGCACTGTCCTCACTGTCCTCCTTCTCCTCCCCCTCCTTCTTCTCCTCGTCGTCCTCCTCCTCCTCCTCCTTCCCACCATCTCTTACGATTGCCTCCCGCCGAGACGAACGGCCTGCTGAGATGGATGGTCGACGCTCCTCCTCCTCCTCCTCCTCCTCCTCCTCCTCCTGCTCGTTCTTGTCCCCTTCCCCCCTCGTCATCATCTTCTGTCCTCCTCTTCCTGCTCCCTCCTCTCTACCCCAATCGCCCTTCCCCCCTCCCTCCTCCAATCGCCCTTCCCCCCCCGGGCGCGCCTCCACTCAGCGGCGTCGTCTCGACGGACAGCGGGGTGCACATCATCCTGCGCCTGGAGTAGGCCGCGCGCGGGGTCCCCAGGCCCTGCCCTCGGCAGAGGGACCGACCGAGGTCCGGCCGTGAGCGACACCTTTGTCCTCCTCCTGTCACTCCTGTCTCCTCACTCCTCCTCTCCTCCCCCTCCTCCTCCTCCTCCTCCTCTCCTCCTCCTCCTTCTCCTCGTCCTCCTCCTCGTGCCTAATCTCCTCCTCCTCCTCCTCCTCCTCTCCCTCCTCTCCTCCTCCTCCTCCTCGTCCCTCCTCCTCGTACCCAATCTCCTCCTCCTCCTCCTCCTCCTCCTCCTCGTCCTCCTCTTCGTGCCTAATCTCCTCCTCCTCCTCCTCCTCCTCCTCCTCCTCCTTCTCCTCCCGCTCCTCTCTCCTCCGTAGCCATTCTGGCTCAAGGCCGTGAGTTCCACAGGTGAGCGAGTGGATGCCACCAGTCCGCGGTCAGGCCCCAGGGACTTGCCACCTCACAGTCCTCGCAGCGAGCGGCGGCGCCGCTGCGAGCCCGCGGCGCCTCCCACGCTGGGACTTGTGGGTAGGCGGAGGCATTTCTGGTTTCTGCTTCGCCCACCGTCATGCCCGAGCTGGTCGTCAAGCCTATTGGCCTCGCTTCTGGCCCCACGGCCGCGCAGCGCCGCAAGAAGAAGCCCCGTCGTGTGGATGGTGATGTCCCTCCTCCTCCTCCTCCTCCTCCTCCTCCTCCTCCTCCTCCTCCTCCTCCTCGTGCTAGCGACAGATCTGGCTCCTCCGAACGTGGCGTTGACGGACCTGGTGGTGCGGAGCCTCCTCCCTTGCTGGTTCCCGACGCAGCTGGTCATGGCTTTCCTATGGCTGTTCCTGTTCTCAGTGAGGCTGGCCTGGGCGACGAGCAGATGGAGAACTGGGACTCGGATGACGGCGGCCAGGCCGAGCGTCTTCGCCTCCTCGCCACGGAGGAGACCACCCGCCTCACCGCCGCGGAACGCAGGCTGTGCTCGGCTCCACCAAAGGCGCGCGGCCGACGACGCCGTCGACCCCCCTTCGCTGCGCAGCTCGAGGCCCAGGGCCACTGTGCTGCGAAGGTCGCCGAGGGGGTCTCCGCGACCTCCCCAAGATGGTCGTCAAGCGGCTTCTAAAGGGCATGGATGGCCAGCATCGTCGTCCTTCAGGAGCAGATCCACGGGCTCACCGTGCGCATGCGCGCTGCCGAGTCCCTTCCTGGACGGTGTTGGCTTTTCTGTCGCGCTCCGCCGCTCCAGGGTCGTCAAGAAGCTTCGCGACCTCTTCGCCGTCGCCAACTCCACCCTGAATGCAGTCACCGCGGCTAGCTTTGAGCCGGACGCCGATCCCACCATCAGCCGCGTCTTGGTGCAGAAGCTTACACCTCTGGGCGTTGTCAAGCAGCTCATCTCCGACTGGATCGCCGGAGTCGGGGTTGCGCCCGAGTTCTTTTCCGTGTCCGCTGCGGAGGAAGTGCGCTTCAGCGTCACTGTGCAGTTCAGTGGAGCCTATGCACCTGCGGCACGCCGGGTCTCGAAAAGATTTGGCTTCGCAGCGCCTAGGCCCTGGCCACTATAAGCGGTTCGAGGCGACGGCTGCAGATGGTCAATTCACTCCACTCCACCTGTGACCCGACAAGAGTCGGCGCCAGATTCGGACGGAGATGCACGCTCGCGGGAGTCGCGATACCTTCAAGCATATCGGGTCGACCAAGTGATGGTTCGCGGCTACGTCATGGCGGGACGGGGCCCGATTCTCAGGATCAGCCTCAATCCTGGGAGCAGCCCGTCGTCGCTCTACTGGGCGGACAACATCATTGCGAAACCAAGCCTGCCCAAGCAAGAGCTCGCGGTCGCGGCAAACGCCATCGCCGCCCCCTCCCCTCGGCGTGGCGGAATGGAGCCTTCAGCCCGCTCTGCCAACTTCGAGGTGAGCGCGCCGGGCCAATGCTGGCCTCGCTCTCGTCATGGAACGCGAGGGCCCCCCTTCAGTGCCGCGCCGCGAACGCCACGTGAAAGCTGCGGTATCTTAATCGCCTGGACTTCCCGATCGAGGTTGTCTGCTTGCAAGAGCTGCATTCATGTGCTTTGCAGCTGCAAGACTTTCCTGGGCATGTCTCTTCTGGCCTCCGCGTCTTCTCCACCCGCTGCGAGGACTCGTTCGTGCTGTTCAGGCCTCTGTGCTCGTTGCTGGCGGTGTTCCGCGGCTTCAGCTTGACCATCGTGGCTATCTTCTTTTTCCGTTTCAGCGTGCGTAGCCATGCGTTTCTTTTCCCCCCTTTGCGGCGCATCGGGCGCTTCCTCCTCGGGGGTGCCAGGGCGGCTCTGGGCGACCCCGCCCATGTCGCCGTGGTGGCGCGCGGCGACTTCAACTTCGCGCTCTCCTCCCCGCTGCTGGTGCATCGGCCTGGTCGGCGGTTGGCCGCGGGCATGGGCCAGCGCGCAGGCTTCCCGGCGGCGGCGCCTCTTCGCGCCGCTCGCGGAGGTCTCATGTGACCAGCGCGCGCGCTTGATGCCTTCGCTCGCTCGGTCTCGGTCATCGACCGGTTTTGAATCAGTCTTCCTGGATGGGCGACGTGCCCGGTCATGGCTGTCCCTCGCGTCGTCGGCCTGCCTGGAGCACTGTCTGAACAGGAGGTCAGTGATCATGTGGCGCATGCGTGCGCCTACATTCAAGGACGGGCGAAGCCCTCCGATCGCAAGAAGATCCCGCGGCGCAGCTTCGAGTCAGATGCCTTCAGGTCGCTTATCGGCTCTGTCGTCATCCTGCTCGACTTTGCGGACGAGTCGCCTCCGCGACAGGTTGTCATGTGCAAGTGGGCTGTCCACGAAGTGGCTCGTGAAGTTCGCGGCCGCAGGCTTCGCGCGGACCCTGGAGCTCATGGCTTTCAGCTTCTGATCGCCAGGCAGATTGCGCGTGCAGTTGGACGCAATAACGTGGCCTCGGCGTCTCGGCCGCGGTCTGCCGATCCGACGGCGGCGGGCTTCCGCGCGGTCTCCTCTGGCCCCGTGCAGCTGGTCCATGATTCGTCCTCTCCGCAGCGGGGCGTGGCTGTTCGGCTACTCATCGTCGGCGCGTTGGGCAGCGCTGTCTGCAGCTGCAGGCTGGGCTGGCAGACCGCCCTGCTCAGCAATTGCGCCGCCGGCTCCGCGCGCTGGGCCGCCGCGCCACCTTCTGGTTTCCACTTTCGAGGCACCTCGTCCTCCATCAAGTCCCCCACAGACGCCAGCGACGCTGCCGCGGGCCAGACGCGCATGAATGGGCGACTGCTGGAGGAGCGCTGGGGGGCCGCGTTCAAAGCGAAGCCTATCGAACGCGCACTGGCTGCGCAGTGCATTTCTGAGCGCGTCTCGAAGCTCGACTTCAACGAACTCGGCCCGCCTTCTCCCGCGTTGCTCAGGAGCGTCGCGCGGCGGCTCCGTCGCCTGGCGCCCGGGTTGGACAGCGCCCCCTACTCGGCCTGGTGCACCTCTCCCACCGGGCTCAACATCCTGTCCGACGCCATGATGCGGATCCTCTCGGGACAAGCGCTCTTCGAGGACTCCGACGACGCGCTGCAGGTCTGGCCCTCCTTGGGCGACGAGCTGGCCGGCTCGGCCTCGCTCGTCTGGGTGCGTGGACCATCGGCGGCGAGTGTCTTTGACGTGAGGAATGCGGACATCGCGGTCGTCGCCGCCGCCGTCGACGTTCGGCTCAGCGCGTTGCTAGTGGAATGGGCCCCGCGGTCTCAGAGGGGGTTCGCCCCTGAGGGGGGCTTCAGCTTCAATGTCCTCGAGCTGGACGCCGCTGGCAGGACCCAGTCGGCGGCCGCGCGGGCGCCGTCGGCCCCCCCTATCTAGTGGCCCTGGCCTTCGGCGCCGCCTTCCCAAGCCTCTCGAAGGAGTTCATGTGCTTTGTCTCCGCGGCCGCGGGGGTCCCAGGGCGCTTTCTTCCCGGTGCTCGACCAGCTGTTCTCGGAGTTGGAAGCGACCGCCATGGCGCAGAATGTCCGCGCTCGCGCGTGGTGGGTCACGTCGGGCATCGCCCAGGGCTGCTCCGCCGGCGGAGTCGCTCGCGCGGCCGCCGCCTCTCCCGTTTTGCCCGGCCGTCAGCGCGGCTCGAGGCACCCCGCGAGGGTATCGCGACGGCATGTGCGGACGACGTCGGCGGCGCAGTGAAGTGGCCCCCCCTCGCCGCGCCCGCGGCGGTCGCGCGCGCCGCGGAGGCTGCGGCCTCTCTGGCGCTGCGCCTGGAAAAGTGCAAGTTGGTTCCCCTGCGCCGCGAGTTATCCGACCATGCGGCTGCGCGAGTTCGTGCAGCCCGTCGCTCTGAGGCGCCGCCCTTCGCCGACGTCAAGGTGGTGAGCTCGCTCGCCTACCTGGACTTGTCCTATGGCCCTGCCGCCGGCGATGATGCGCGTTGGCTGGCCCCCGCGCTCGAGGCGCAGACAAGGTTCAAGCTGGTCGGTCACAGTGACCTGCCTGTCTCGCGACTAGCAGCGCGCTGCGACGCTCGCGTCTCTACGGTGCTGTCCTACCTCGGGCAGTGCCGCCTCGTGCCGAAGTGGCTCCTCCAGGGCGAACTGATCGCGCTTGCCCGCGCGCTCCGCGTCCCAGTGGGCGCCGTCAGCATCGCGGCGTGGGTGCAAATCCGAGCGGCGGGTGGGCCTGTGATCTCACCTTGGCTGGCGATGAGCGGTGGCGCGCTCCTGCGCGCGGCCTTGCCCGGGCGCGAGCGGCCGCGCGCCTGGCTGCGTCGACGGCGCCGTCGACTGGGAGACGGGCGATCTCTGGCGCAGCGTGCTTCGGCGCGGCCCTGCCCCGTCCCCTGGCGCAGCGAGGCCTTCGTCGAGACCCTCCACAACGCGGCGCGCGGGCAGGTCTCGTCGGTGGTCCGCTCGCCCAACTTGTTCGGCGTCGCTAGAGGTGCCGCGATCGAGTCCAGGGATGGCCCGCGCGCCGGTCGAGGTGTGCAAAATGCGGTCACCAAGCGAGTCCAGCACTTCCTGGCCCGCTCTCCCTCTAGGACTGCTTCGAGGGGGAGGCTCGCCTTGGCCTTCCCCGACATGCTCGAGAACGGCGAATTCCTTTGCGATTTCCTACCCCGTGAGGCACCTGACAAGTTGCAGCGCCACCTGGTTTGCCCGAGACAGGGGGCGCGTCGAGTTCGCGGCGGGGCACTCTCGCCCTCAACGCTTGCTTGGCCGCGCGGGGCTCATTGGCGGGGTGGTGGAGATCGACGAGCGCTTCGCGTGCCACTCGGCCGCGCGCGCTGCGTCGACGGGTGCCTGGTCCTGGTCGTTCGTGCGGGCTCGCGTCCCAGCCGCCCTTCGGTTGGTCTCGCTGGGCGCGAAGTCGCCTGCGCGTCTGCCGCCGCGACCTCGTGTTCCCGCCCGCGTGCCCATGCCGACCAAATGCGCTTCCTTGTGCCTGTCCTGCTTGGTTTTCTCCTCCTCTTCGGCCTTCTCGCGCAGCTCGAGTCCTTCTTCCTCGGCATCCAGTGCGTCGGCGGAGTCGCGCGCGTCGTGGCCGCGCCAGAGCATGATGGAAGGCGCTTTTTGTCGACGCCGACCTTGAGTGGTGGAGCGAGGTGCCCGAGGGCGTTGAACATCGTGCTCTTCTTGCTGGCCGCCGCCCTTCGCCTTTTTACGGCTCGTCACCCTCTTCCACTTCCGCGTCGGTGGCGCGCGTGCATCCGCCGCGCCCTGTCCACCCTCGGGGGCGAAACGCTCCGTTGGGGGGCGAGGTTGCCGGCGGGGGCAGCGATTCTTCTCCTGCGTCCTTTTTGGAGACCGCTGTGGAGTTTTCCTCGCAGTCGTTGGCGGTGACGCCGCTAAATGGACGCTGCCTCGGTCCCCGTCGCCTCGCCTATGCTAGCGCGCAGAATCCTGTGCCAGTCCAGCTGGACGCCGTCTTGTCGCTTCACGTCTTGCTGCGGCGTGGAGCACGCGGGCTGCCTCCGTCATCTTTCTCCCTCGTGGCGGCCCGCTGTCCCCGCTCAGGATGCCCACCGTCGTCGCCAAACTTGCCAGTCGCGTGCCCCGCTGGGCCTCGCAATGGCTTTGCACTATCGCGAATCGCCGGGTCAACCTTGCCTCCGCCATGGGACAAGCGGCTGGCCAGATCTGTCGGGCGTGGTGGTACAGGCTGGCCATCCCTCGGGAACAGCTACGTCGTCTACTTCGGGGACCCCTACCTGGCAGCCGTCTCCCAGCTTCGTGCTCTGGGCCCATCGCCTGGTTCGCCGCCACATGCAGGTGCTGGAATGGAGGCCTGACGCCTCGCGCGTGGCCCCCGACGTGCGAGCTCCTTTCCTCGGGTGGGCGGCAGACGAGGGCGCGTGGCCGCGGCGCTTCGTTGCTCGTCCATCGCCTGCGCCGGACCCGCTGCCGGTTCCCCCTGGCCACTCGTGGGGAGATCTGGACGTCGACCCGCTGCCCGCGGAGATGCGCTCGATGCCGCCCTCCTCCTCGTTCGAGTGCGGCGCCAGCGGCGGCTACCTGGCCGTCATGGGCACCATCGACGACGAGTTGAACAGCCTCTGCGGGTTGTCCCTCCCTGGCGATGACGAGTGCGTGCTCGACCGCGAGTTCGACCTTATCGTCGACCCTGGTGCGTGCCCTCCCCTACCATGGGGCCGCCCTGGGCGCGCACCTCCGCCGATGGCGTCCGTCCCGCGCGCGCCCTGGCCTGCGGGAAGCTCGTCTGGCCCAGCGCCGCCTGGCGGTGATCTTCGTGTCCTCGAATAGGTCTGCGCCTGTCGGTGGTGGCGCGTCACCGCCGAGCACCAGCGGTCCTCGTGGTGATCCTCGGCGCCCTGCCGCGCGCGTAGCACTGCAAAGCGCTGTTGATGCGCTCGCTCGAGGAACTGGGGTTCCTGTTCTGCGCCCTCAGGCTTCTGACAGTGGACCTGATGACTCTGGTTATGATGTGGGTCCCGACTACCTAGAACTGCTGGCTATGCAGGAGATGACGGAGGAGCGGGACGGGGCTGCAACCTCGGCTCGCTTGCTGCCGTCTTCACTGATTTCCGCCCGTGGGGCGCCGACATCCTCCTGAAGCCGTTCTCGGTTGGCCATCTCCCCCGGAGGGACCCGTGCATGTCGCCGCCCCATCCGACATCGACCCGAACATCGACTGCAAACTCGTCGACTCTGCCTTCGCCGCCCTGGACCTCAACGAGTGCCTGAGTGGCTCGGCCCCCCCTGCACCCGCGGCGGCCGTCCTGGGCTGGAGGGAAAGAGCTTTCAAGGGCGCTCGCTCCGTCCCCTCTCTCCTCCTCTTCCCGCTCCCTCCACCTCCTACTCCACCTCGTTCTTCCTCTTTCTCGCCTTCTCCTCACCCTCATTAGCAGTATCCTGGTGCTCCTCCTTCCCACCTTCTCCTCCTCCTCCTCCTCCTCCTCCTCATCATCATCATCATCATCATCATCATCATCAGCATCAGCATCAGTTTCCTGCTCATCGTCGCCACCATCATCACCATGATCACCAGCAGCGTTATCATCATCATCGCCGTCATCGGCATTACGACTGTTATCATAATCGCCGTCGTCATATCACATCAACGACCCCTCGTCACCACCATAACCATCACCACCGCCACCAACGTCAACACCATCATCATCACCGCCCGCATCATCATTTTCATCGTCAGCATGTGCATCACCACCATCGCCGTCGTCATCAACAACATTGCCACCATCACCATAATCATCATCATCATCATCATCATCATCATCATCATCATCATCATCATCATCATCCTCATCATCACCGTCGTCGTCGTGAGCGTCGTCACCTTCATCACCATAGTCACCATCATCATTTCCACCATCCCCGTGAGCATAACCACCATCATCATCGTCATCCTCACCACCTTCACCACCATCTTCGCCGGTATTGTGCTCGTATCCATCGTCGTCGTCATCTCCATTGTCATCAGTGCTATCATGATCACCATCATTCATAGTATTCATTAGCACCAGCATCATCACCATCATCATCATCATCAGTTTCATCATTGTTATCATCATAGCCAACACCATCATCGTCATCATAATCATCATCGCCATCGCCACCATCGCCACAGTCACCATCATCACCAGTATCATCAGCGGCATCGTCATCATCTCTGTTGCCCCTTTGTGAGGGAAGGAAATTCTTGAATCGCAGAAGATGGGGTCGACGCGGGCACTCGTCGTCGTCCTCGTCTGCATTCGCCGCTCCGTTTCGATAGCAGTGGGCCTCTTCGTCGTCCTGGTTGTCCCCATGCTCCTCCTCCTCTTCCTCCTCCCGCTTCCAGGGATCCTCGCATCACTCTTTTGAATCGAGTGCGACCCGCTCGAACCCATAAGGTCATACAACCCTCGCCCATCCTGCTCCGTGCTCTTCCTTCTCGCACTGGGCGCACGCGTGCGCGACCTGTTCTGCCTTCGAGGAGGAAGAAGAAAAGAACAGTCTGCTGCATACAGTTGCTTTGGGGGGTCTTGCTGGTGAGTATATGAAAACACATTGTGCCGCGGTATGGTAAAGTGGTACGTGTCCGCCCGATTTCGAACAGGGCGCTGACACCCAGGGGTCACGCAACGAAATTGGTGATACCGTGTGGTGAGCATCGCTATGATAACGTTTATGTTGTGGTGAAGTGCTATTTGAAACGCAGAACGCAAGGTTTTGTCGCCGTGGCATTGAAAGCGAGATTGCCTCGAAATCAGCCCGTGGAGCGGCTTCCCGTCCAAAGCGTCCGTGCGGGGGCCGAGCGGCTTTTCGCAGTCTCTTGGATCGATTTTGAAGTCGGACCCCATGGGGTGCGTATTCCTGGCGTTGTGGTGCGGCATTGTCGTCGTTGTCGTCGGGCTCTCCCTCGTCGAAGCCGCAATCGCGAGGACATGGGTACGGTTTTGCTGGATACGCGCCCTCCCAGGATGTGGGCCGTCTGCTCTCGTGCGGTCGGCTCCACTGCGGGCCGCGCCGCCGACGGCGCGCAGAAGACAGCTGGGCGAACGAGGGCACTGTGAGGGCCAAGGGCGCCTCGAGGGCACGAAGTTGTTCGCGCTTCGCGCTTCGCGGTTCGGCTCCGATTCCTCCTCGTCCTCCCCTTCTCCCCTGGGAGGCGGCGCGAGAGCGCGAAGTGATTCGCACTTCGCGCTTCGCGCAGCGCGACGCGCGAAATTGGGAGCCCTTGAAGAAGTTGGGGCAGCCTCAAAGGCAGTGCCCGCGGTGGGACGGCAGGTTCTCCTGTGCGCCCCGCTGCCGCCTGCGGGTCGCCGACGGTCGGACTGCGTGGAAGCCAGCCAGGCCAGTCAGCTCAGCGCCTCCGGAAGACGAGAAGGTTGCACATCGGAGCTCCGCGCGAATTTCTTGGACCTGCGCTGGAGCCCGCAGCGTGCCAGGGTTGGCGCCGTAGGCGCCGCCAGGGATTCCCTGCGCAGCTCCGAGAAGTCCGCGCGGAGGGCGAGCATTCCGTGTGCATCCGCCGCTCAGCCACACCAGCGTGTCATGACACTCGTTGTCACGATGATGCTGCTGCTGCGACGACGCACGGAGAACATGCAAGCGCTTCCTCTGGGGCGCACAAAGCCGCCAGCGTGCGTTGACACCTTCTGCCTTGCCTTGGGCAGAGGCCGAACGGATCGCGCCCGCATGCGCCTGGAGCCCGCCTTCTCCTCCTCCTTCGCCCTTGCCTGCTGCGGCCGCGAGAAGATCCTCGTGCTCCTCCTGCTCACTCTCCTCCTTCCCATTCCTCCCCCTCCCTCCCTCCCTCCCTCCCTCCCTCCCTCCACCTCCTGTCCACTCATCCCTTTCTTCTCCTACCCCTCCGGCCTCCTCCCTCCTCCCTCCTCCCTCCTCCCTTCTCCTCGTCCTCCTCCCACTCCTCCTCTTTCTGGGGGGGGCGTGTGCTTGCAGCATCGCCTTGCGAGGCAGAGCCAGCCAGCCGCCGCGGCCAGCCGCCCAGGAGACTCCGACGGCCGGCAGCACACTGGCCTCCTACGCCGTGTGCTGGGCCAACGACCCGAGCGATGCCGTCGCCTCGGCCGTCGCGGTGGTCTGTAACCCCAGCCCCCAGAAGAGCGGCGTTCTTCCCTCCCTCGTCTCTCCGTCGGAGCGTGGGGCGGCACAGGGAATCTTTGGCATGGGCGTCTCTCATCTGAGCCCCCTTCTCCAGTCTCGCCTCGGCTTCACTGCGGCCCCTTTTCTCCTCCTCCTCCTCTTCCTCCTCCTCCTCTTCCTCATCCTCCGTCCTCTCATGCTACTGCCGCTCCTCATCATCCGTCCTTCTCCCTTGTTAACTGCCAGCTGCACTACCAGCCGTGTCGGTAGGGTGGTCTCAGCGTTGCGGCAGAGACGTCAGCACAGTGCATGGCCCTAAGACTGGGGACAGCAGCAGCTACATGGTGTGGGGACAGGTGGTCTTCAAAATCTGGCTCTCGCTCTTGAGCCCCCGTGCCTTTCTGTCTTACCTCTTCCAAGGAGTCACACGGCTCTCGCACTGGCGCCTTGCGCATTCGCCTCAACAGCTTCCGTGCAGATGATCTGCGGATGCAGCTCAGATCGTGTTCAGAGACTGGCTCCCGCCTCAGCCTCCAGCCCTGCGCTCCTTTGCCGTGCAGCTTTGCAGCACTGCAGCAGCTGCTCCTCTCCAGCGCCGAGCTCCGGCCACGCGCGTCCCCGAGAGCGGTGCTCCACAGTCGGGGCCCTGAAGAAGGAACCCTTTTCGTTGGGGAGGGGCTCGGTGTTCCTGAATTGTTTCGCAGCTTGCCCTGGATTTTCCTCAGGTTTTCGATCCGAAATCGAAGCTCCACTTATGGAAACTAGGGGCCTCGTTCCTGATTTCGGGTTCCTTAGGTCAAGGCCCCGACCGTACACCTGCAGGGGCGGCGGGTGGTTCCCTTTCGGAGTTAGCGCCGTCCACTTTGTCTGCGTCACAGAGGGCTCTGTCCTGGAGCGGCGGCCCTGGCCAGCACGGGGTCACGCGGCCTCGTCGCGCAGCCCCGTGAGGTCCCCGAGGGCCCCCCCCCCTTGGCCCCCTCCCCCTAAGGGGGGCCTCTCCCGGGGGCTCCGTCCGGACCCGAAGGCTCCCACCGAGGGCTCCCGAGGGCCCCGGCGGGCTCGAGGCGAGGGGAATTTTGGGCAGGAGCTCCCCCCCTCCCCTCCCCCAGCGGGAACTTTGGGAAATCCGGGGGGGGGGGGGGAGCTTCCCCCTGGGGATCTTTGGGGGAACTTTGGGGGGAACTCGGTGGCGAACGCGGGGGGCGAACTCGCGGAGGATCTTGGGGGCGAATTTCGTGGGGAGCGTGGGGAAATTCAGCGGGGGGAACTGGGGGGGGGAACTTTGGGGGGGAAATCGCTGGGAAACCTGGGGAGGCGTGCGCGCGTGTGGGCGATCCACGTGCCACATTGCTCGCTGGCGCGAGACGGCGCAGCGTGCGCCCCCAGCCCAGCCCCCACGCGTGGGCGAAAGGGAGGGGGGGCGCCGCGCGACGCGCCGCGGCGCGGGGCGACGCGAGCCCAAGCGGTGGGCGCGAGGCGTCGCGCGGTCCGCCCTGCTCGCGTGGGCGAGCGCGCGAGGGGGCGCCTGCGCCGCCCAGGGCTGGGAGGGGCGCCGCGAACGCTCTGTGAAGCGCGCGCGATGGGGCATCGCCAGGAGGTGCCCGGCGCCCCCGTGGTGTCAGGCGAGCGTTTCGGTCGCGGCGGCCGGGTCGGACAGAGTGGACGTGGCGATGCCTACGTGTTTCAGGTATGCGTTTCTGCTGCGCCTACCACGCGGGGGCCTTGCCCGCTGTCTTCGATGGCTCGGCATTCAACGAGCAGCGCCAGGCATCGGTGTGCCTCTCAGCGGAGGCGTCCGTCTTGCGTTTGCAGCAGCGCAACAGGTCGGAACTGCCCGTTAAAATTTGGCGCGAAGCCTGGCGACACATTCAGGGCGGCAAAGGTACGTGCGCAGCCCACGTTCTCGGCGCATTCTTCGAGAAAGCGGGCGTAGGCGCGCAGGCCTTCGCGAGCTTCACTCCCGCTGAAGCCATGACCGCCATCCGGATTGCGGCCAGGGCGGTTGGCGCAGAGCGCCCGGAGGAATTCGGCACTAAAGCGCTTCGACGCAGGCATGCGCTCGACTTAGCTAGTCGACCGCAGTGCCGGTTTGACCGAGATACTTCATGCGGGCGGATGGCGGAGCGCTGCCATTCTACAGTATTTGCCCGTCAAGTCCTTCGAGCAGGGCGCTGCTCTCGAGGCCAGAGGACGTTTGCTCTTCCGGCAGCGACTTGGGACTCGTGCCAGGTGGAGCGCGCGCGCGCTGGCGTCCCCGCGGCGCATTGTGCATTGGGTCTGCGCCTGCGCGCGCGTGGCGCGCGGGGCTGGGTCTCCCGCCTTGTGCCTGGCGCTCCGTGACAGAGGGTGTTCGCACTGGGCGCTCGGTTGGGCCGGCGGCGCAGGCTAGTGCCAGAGCCACGGTCGGCTCGGGGCACTGCTGCGCGCGACCAGGGTCGAGCGCCGCGCCCAGCCGCACCCGTCGTCGCGGTGCGACGCGCCGAACCGTCAGCGTGCAACGTTGATCGCGGGCAGGAGACGGCGGGGCGGGCGCCCCCACCCCAACCCCAATGCTTGGGCGAAAGGGACGGGGGCGTTGCGCGACGCGCAGCGGCGCGGGGCGACGCGAGCCCAAGCGGTGGGCGCGAGGCGTCGCGCAGTCCGCCCTGAGGGGGCGCCTGCGCCGCCCAGGGTTGGGAGGGGCGCCTCGCGCGCTCGGCTGGGTGGGTGTCCCACCGCGCTCGGCGAGGGGCACCTGCGGTGCGGTTTTTTGTCCGCCCGCTGCTCACTTGGTGGCCATTCGGCTTGGGGTGTTCGCACTGGGCTCTAGGCTAGGCCAGCGATGCAGGCTAGTGGCTAGTGCCAGAGCCATGATTGGCTCGGGGCAGAGCGGCGCGCGGCCAGTGTCGAGCGCCGCACCCATCGTCGCGTCGCGACGCGCCGAGGCGTTTGGCGTCCGCGCCAAGGTTTCGCGGGGACATTGGAGGGGAATTTGGGGAAAAACTTGGGGGTTCCCACCGAAGGTTCCCGAGGGCCCGAGAGCTCCCGAAGGCTCCCTGCGACGGCTCGCGAAGGCTCCCGTGGTCTCCCCCCCCCAGGGCGAGGGCCCCCGCCCCCCGGGGGCTCCCGCGGGCCCCTCCCCCCCCGAAGGCTTTCGAGAGGGCCACCGAGGGCTACCGAAGGTGTCTCTGCACAGCATGCTCGCCAGCACGGGTGTGTGACCGCCGCAAGTGGGCAACGCTGCAGTGGATTCGATTTGGATCTCCATGTCTGAGCCAGGCCGCGAGCGTGCCCCAGGCTTTGTTTTTCGGATCCCCCTCTTGGGCGCCCGCGGACGCCCTCGGCGCCGCGCCACTCGCACGGGCGGCGGGGTCCTTTGCAAGGCGGGGCTCCTGTTCAGAGCCCCCGTTTGTAGCGCCTCAGGAGCCCGAGGGTTTTCGCAGCTCGTTGCCATCGTATGCCCAAGCCCAGCGCAGACCCGTTTTGTTT